TATAATTTATTCAATGAAACTCGATATATCACCTCTTCTATTGATTAGCCATGGATCTTTTCTGTGTTTTAGGAACCGAGCTAACATTTTTTTGAAATGCCCTAAGTGGGTTGGAGTAGTTAGAAATCTGAAAAACAGAAAGTGAGGAAAAAGATGAAAAGAAAATCAACTTGCTTTTTTCGAACACAACTCTTCATCAAGTCATCTAATACGAAATGATTGTTGCTCTCATTCAAGACATGGAAGAGATGTTCTAATTTGAATATGACGAACCTCCAGTTGAGCGCAGATATCTGATTATGGTTACCATACTTCTCGTAATCATACTCTATAAGTAAACCATTGCTTGTTCATTAGAAGTATTATTACCAAAAGGCATATTTCGAAACTTCCGATTGATAGTTTTCGGTAATACATTCTCTTCAGGAAATAGCAAGACTCTCAAATCAATCTCGCTTAATCCACTTTCCACCATCGTCATAAGGCATAACGTGGAGATCAGCAAATGTCCTTTAGATTCACTTTCTATTATACTTAAGTATGCTTCACAAACGCTTGAGATGATCATATTATCACAATAAAAATTGTCTTATCCTACCTCAAAGCGCTATACGAGGCTAGCTCGGTGACTTTTTCGGAAGTCGCTCCGAAACGGATGAGTGAACCAAGAACTTTACATTTCAATGGAGACCAATGCACATCATCTTTACCTTTTAACTAACATTAATTTTTAATATGCCTCTTAACATACCTTCTTCAACGTTTTCTTTGGTTATACCACGTAAGCTGGCGTTGAAGTAAAGTTTCTCCGCCATTTCTTTAGTGTTTGAACGAATCTGTCCAGTAGATGTTCGCTCACCAAATTCCATATACTTTGATATTATCCGCTGAATAACATAATTTTTTTTTCTTTTACTAACTAAGATCCTAAACATACAATAGCATCTTGATGTGGTAATAAAGGAATCGTTAAAACAGCCATGTCTTCCTCGGATGGTCGAGATTTCTTCATTGCCAGAATCCAGACTATCTTAGTTGAACTAGAAAACAGTTTTTTCAACTCCTTAAAACTCTGTAAAAGGTGAAGCTATCAGTGTGAGGCTTTGTCGAGGCACAAACTTTATCCGCATCATCTATGAGCACCAGCATCTTTTCGGAAAGATTCTCCAAGAACTCTTGATAACTGTCAGTCTCCTCAAAGAAATTTCTCATCAGAAACTATTTTTTCGAGTACCTTTTTCTCAAAATTTTTCAAAATTTCTTTCTGATAGTCTTCGGAAGTCTTCTTTGTGTTTGTAAAAATAAAACACTTCAGTTTCACTGACGAGTTTTGAGAAATTTTAAAGAGAATACTCGTTTTCCCGCTTCCATGATTACCTAATATGACAATTATTTTTTTAGTTTCAATATTTTGCAGTGCCTAAACGAAGGAAAGATTAGTCATTACTGGAAGTTTACTGGCCTCCAAGTAAATCATTTCTTGCTCCTTTGATAATTGAGTTCTTTTTTTCTCAATTAATGAATTTATATCTTCTTCTGTAGATGATTTTAAATGATAAATATCCAGTGCTGGTAGTATATGTTCCTAAAAGCTACCATGGTTGAAGGCGGAATTGAGGATTGTTTAAACCTTCACAGCGCTCAGCATGTCTTCCAAACCAGTCAAGACAATCCGCTTATGGTGAGGATCATTTATACCTTCTGTTTTACATTTGAACTCTACCACTTGTTGTTTCTTCAGAAAATTGATTTAAAACTGAGAAAATTTGATCTAACCGGCATTTCGGTCATAATCTTCTGAACCAAATATTGCGCTCGCGCTCTCCCAACTTCGTCATCTTCAAAATTATGCTGATTAAAAGGGATTTGTAGTAAGAAATCGGGATTTCTGATCAGGTATAAAGCTGCAATGATAGAATTCTGTTACATTACAATTCCTCAGTTACCCTTTGAGTTCACTTTCCCTGATAACAGTAATGCGATTTCATTTAAGGTTAGGCCTGGTCGAAGACCCTTACTGCTTAGAAACTTCAAATCGGCAAAGGACTCATCGATAATGAAACCAGAGCAATTTCTAAATTTCAAAGTCAAAGATGTTCGAACATTAAGTTAAACCCAAATAAATGGATATAAATTATGTTCGGTGATGTTTCTTGACACTCATTGATCAAATGATCCAGCAGGTACACGTTTTCAGGGTCGTCATATGAAGCTTTTTGATTCTGAAAGCTACGAGTCAAATCTTGAAAAGCTATAAAACTATACGGAATTAAAATTTTCAATTTGTAGAAATAATTTCTTTTTGTTTAAAAGAGGCTGAAGAGTTTGCTCGACCTGCAAATTAATTGTTGAAATTGTTTATTGAAATTAGAAAAAAACCATTTGATGGATCTGAACTCGTTCGTTCCGAAAATCTTTGAACGTTGAAATGAGAACGATTCGAACAATCCTCCATCCACTTTAATAAGGTTTAGTGAAACTTTTCTTTTTATTAACATGAGTTACTTATATTGGACTGATTCTTCAGATGATCGGTGAGTAGTTGTTGAGACTTCTTTCCATATTTGGTCGAAACTATCTGTTTCGAATGGCTTTGAACCCATTGAAGAACACCCACCCATTCTTTCCTTCCAATAATCTTCTATCATCTTTCGTACAAAAAAATTGGAGAGAACAGAGAGATAATAGAATAGATTGACTTCTATCGGTGGAACGAAAAGCTTTTTCTTAGTAGGGAAAGAAACAAATTGATATGAGTGAATCACATGATCCCCCATTAATCTGCCTTAGGCTTCGAAGAAAACGGGTAAGTTTGGATATAAATGAAAAGTGCGTACAACTTTTATCAGCTTTTCCCATTGTCTCAAGATATCATCCTGTTAGTTTAAGCTAGTTTCTCCTTGCTTCACAACTCTCTTCTCCTGCTTAGCCTTAATTTCTTGTTTTCTCTAACAATTCGTTTCTCTCTTGACCCCTCACTCTCTCTCTCTCACCCTTTCTCTCTTTCTGCTCAATCAATTATCCTTTTTGAGAGTTTTGAAATTTGAAAGCAGCTTTCGAAAGTTTCTCTTCAACAAAAACTATGATAACTTTAATAGCCTTTCATGGAAAAAGGATAACAGGCCTTATCCAGGTGCTTCCCATTAATTTCCTTTTTTACTTCAGAAGGCTTGATCATCGAGAAAAAGAGAGAAATTTTGAGGTTACGTAGCCTTTGTTTGAAACTGGTAAAATTGTAAAAGGCAGAGTAACCTGAATTCTCAGATGAAAGTGACAAACATGAGAAGAAGTAAAAAAAAATAATCTGAGAGACTTGACGAACAAGTTGTGTCTTTCACTTCTCAAGGGATAAAAAACAAGCTTAAAATCAATCTTGAAAATACTCCTTTGAACTGTCGAACGTTAGAGCTTTAGGTTTTAGAAGCTTTTGAGAAGCCGATCAATTCCAAAAACTTGAATGAACTTTTTCTTCTTCATCCTATCTTAATAGACGAACGTTGATTTGATGACCATTTGATATATCAATTTTCGATTCTGCTTCACATTTCCATTTCACTATGAACGAAACTCAGAAGTTTCTTCGAAAGACTCAAGTTGGATATTTGAGATTGAAAAGCTTCTTCATCTTTCATTAATTGATTTACTCAAAATTTAATTATTTCCAAGCAAAAATTATTTAAATAACAAATTAATTGAAGTCGACTATCTATTCGCGGATTAAAAAAATTTTTTTCTGATGATTAGCTGAATATTCAATCTCTCAACTGTTGAACAAGGTTTTCTCCCTTTCTATCTCTCCCTCTCTATCTTTATCTATCTTGTCCTCTCTTTCTCATCCTCACACGTCAAAACACTTCTTGTAACAAACGAGTCGTCAGTTTTCTCTTATTCGACCCTGTTCTCCGAGAAATATCGCCTAGGGCTATATCCGCCCTTTCATTTCTTCATTCTAGCTCCTTATCTGTCCATACTAACTCCCGCCCTAAATGATGAGAAAGCTGAAACATCATAGTTGGAAATGTCATAAGCATTTACTACACATTTATTTCGTCTAATTTACCTTTGAATTTTAATGAAAGAAGCTTTATTAACTTGTTTAAAACTTATTCCTTCTGTCTTTCTCTCTGTCTCTCCTCTCTATCTCACTGACTCTTCTGTTCATGTTCAGCTTCATTCTCTTTCAATACAAATCCAAATAGGAAACAGTTTCGGATTTCAAATGTTTCGTCAGAAAGTTTGAGATAAACATCATTACAGATTGAATTCATTTGATAAAACATAGAAAAGAGAACACAATTTCAAAAAGAAAAAGCTGCAAAGCATTAAGGAAGAAGATAGTGAATGACAGTTTTCGTTTTCCATATTTGACATCCTTTTGTTTTCATTTCCGTTGCCATGTTTCATACACGTCGTCTTAATTATAAATTCATATTCCTTTTCAAGAAATCTTCGTTTTTTTTCTTTTCTTCTTTCTCTTCAATACATAATAAATAATTTATTTAAGGACATGGTTCATCGGTATTGGACTTTTGTATTTTTTGTGATTCTCAACGTCTTCTGTGGTGAGTAACGAGTTTCATTTTGGACAATTTTATTTTAAATGCAAAACAAAACAGTATTCTTTCTATTAAACATATTTAATTGTCATGCTTTTGTGGTCCTGTCTTCAGACGAGAATTATCTCCAAAGGGCACAAAAGAATTGAAAAGATGAAATATACGGGTTTTTAGTTGCTTATTAGGATAATCGTGTCTTTAGCTATGTACGACAAGCAACTAATTTCATTATAATACTCTTGAAATATCAAATATCCTGCTAGCTTGTGATTATATAACTTTCTATCTCTAATTATGTATGTTATAGTTATTGGAGAGGATTGCAAAGATGCTGATCCTAAGTGTAGTGAGTGGGCTGCCTCAGGTGAATGTTCCGCCAATGCTGTCTGGTAGGCTAGCATAGATATCTAAACGTTGTCAGACTCGTTTTCAGGATGATGGCCAATTGTAGAAAATCGTGTCACTCATGTCAAGGAGGAGATCGGGCATGGAAACTTCGTTCACACGTTCAACAAAATTACCAAAATAAAACAGACATAATGAGAGAAGTTCGAGTTGAAAGTGTTCGAATCAACAATGTCGAGATTGTGAGGAACAAGACAAGTATTCCTTCTTATTATCTCATTTTTTAGGATGAGAAGAGACAGAATGTTAGAGTTTATGGCCGTTTCGTCTTGGTAACTTACAAACTTCACTATTTTATCCTATTTTGTCTGTTAAGAGCTGGAACGATTCTCAAATTTCTTGGGACAAGAACGAGTGGGGATTAAGTTGGTTAAACTTCTATTGGATTCAAATTTGGACTCCAATGGTTGTTCAACTCAATGGGTATTTTCAACTAGTTTTTATCTATATTATATATTTTCTTAGTGGAGCTACATCCAATCCTGGAACAGTTACAAGCAAAGTTCTCGCAGCTAACTATACAGGACAGATCTATTTGTGGGCTGATTTCGCTTTCAGCACTCCATTCCGCTTCCAATACGAAGATTATCCCAATGATGAGCAGAAAGTATGTTTCTCTAATACTTGTGTGTCAATAGACAAAATTAATAATTAAGGTCTGCTTCAAATTTGACGATAAACGTCTTCTGGCTGTTCATTTCACTGTTTCTGAACAAGTTAAGAACAAGAATCGCGAAATGATGACTGATCCATTTGTTTCTGGATGGAAGATCTCAGACTTCGAAGTCAATGTAAGCTTCTACCATTCTTTTCAACTTTCAAAAGAAATCGAATTTACAAAATTTCAAATATTGAAAATTTATGTTTTGAATGATTTCAGAAAAATGCAAAACCAAAGGTTTGTTTGATTCATAACTAGTTAGCTCTTATCCTTTCCTCTAATAACATTTTTCTTCAAAAATTGTTAAAAGGAATAGTCTTGTTTGAGCTTAGAATACCTACTTTAGAGCTGTCGGTGCTTTTTCTTAAAATAGTTTCGGTTGCTGCTTTGATATTAGATTACTAGTTCTTGCTATTTTCAGGAATCACCATTCAGCATTGAAGCTTTGTCAGATCCAAAGAGAAATCCATTTGATATTCAAGCTGATAACTGTGAGCTATGCGTTACATTGGAAAGAAATGCTGTTTACTTTACTGCTGAAATGCTTTTACCTGCATTGGTTACAAGCATATTCACACTGTCAGCCGTGTTCTTCCAGGTATTCTTGAAATCTAGATTATCTTATAAACAAAACGTTTTCAGTTGTCGAAGACACAGTCTGTCTTACTAGGTTTCTCAGTAGTTAGTCAACTCTTATCGTTAGTTCTGATGTCTCAAAGACTTCCAAGCTTCACAGCTCACACTCCAACAATAGGTTAGTTATAACTTCTTGCTAATAATATATTTTTGTTTTCACAGTTCATTATGCTGAATTCAATTTGATCATGACTGGATTGCTCTTCCTTCTCTCCTTAGTTCTCGAGAGATTAGCAACTACACCAGCCAATATTCCACCACCTCATGTGGTAGATAGATTTGCGGGATTAGTTGATAACATCCTACCAATTCCAAGGGTATATATCATTCTATTATCAATCTTCTAATAATTACCTTTTACAGAACACAAAACACGAAGATGAATCTTTAAAATACGCTTCAATCTCACATGCTCTCAATCATGTACTGTTTGCTTTGGCTTCTGTTATTTATTTCTGTGTTGTTATATTCTCTTTTGTATTTTAAACTATATTAGGTTACTCGTATGTATTTATTAATAAATTTATACTATTATTGGATAGACTATAAAACAAAACCATGTTATATCATGAGAGGTACATATGATTGTCCTACCCGTATGTGGTACGGTGTAGAGTACTGTCACTATGATTCTCAGATTTGACGTAGGCTGACGCGATGACATTCGAGTGTGAAAAAAAAGTAATTTATTTGAAAAAAATTTCTTTTTTCGCTAAAACATGTAGAGAAGATCATTTATTTCTTTGTGTTATTTACTAAAATAATATGTTTTATAATAGTTAAAAATGGAAGATGAAGATGTCATGTCTAATTGGTTGACATATAATTTTGGTCGTGCGAATAAGGTGCTAAAGTGGATGTTTCTTTGAATGAAGGAATACCATTATCATTCTGAAAGTATATAGTTCACTTTAAGAAATTCATGATTGAGAAAACCTTTTGATGCATGGCAAGAGTATCGCTAGAGACGTTGAATGAAACATCTGATGGAAGAGGAATTCGCTCAGTCTCAATATTCATAACACAATCCATTATATCCCATTCTGGTGGTACATAGCCGTTTGTTAACAAGTAAACGGACAACCATGAAACCTAGAAAGGAATTATGATCGAATCTTTTCTCCCAAACTATTTAAAGTACAAATAATAATGTTCCCAGTGTCGATAGCATAGCCATTGTACGGAATGGGAAATACTGAGTTCCATCTTCATAGAGTGGATAATGAATGAATGCGGGTAAACCAATCAATGGCTCTCCTCCACTTAATCTCAGTAATAATCCAACTAAAGTAATTTTTCATTACTTCCTCGAGTAACATGCTGAAGCATACCTCCATACCCAGCAAGTGATCCGTAAGTGTTTGTACTTTTAACATAAACGACGCAAAGTAGTTGTGGGAACAGTATGACATATACGAGATCAGCACATAAATACCTGGAGCAAGTGCGATATGAACATGAAAAGTAGAAAGAAACTAACCATAAGCCGTAAATACTGTGTATAGTTAAAGCCATTACTGTCGCCATAATACCGACTAGGATAATAGAAATTCTCATTACAACGATGACTTCTTTCTCAGATGCCTATAAACCATTTGATCGATCATTACACTTATCACATGAACTCTTACGTGTGGTCTAATAGTTAACTTCCAGATATTGTGAGCAAACATAGAAGCTGCTGAAAGCACTGATGAATCAGCTGAAGACATGACTGCAGCTGACACTGCTCCCAATCCTTAACAACTCATCAGTTGAATTGAAGTACAAGATTTATAATTTGATTACCTACGAAAGCCACCCATTTTGGAGTCAAGTATTGGAAAACGAGTGGAACGACCATGTTTGTTTGTTCGGGTGGAATGGATTCAACTTTGGTTCCATTATGCCATGGAGAATATTCAGTCATTCTCCAATCTTATGAATAAAAAAAATAATCATTTGTTTGTGTTGGCTAAAACCTGTGTTTTTGGCTATCGCTCCAATCAAAGCTGGAGGAACTGCCATTAGAATGCATCCGATTCCAGCAACGAATGAGAGACGTTGAGCGCCTTCAGAAGTCTTGGAAGAGAGAACTCGTTGAAAGTATACCTAAATAGATGCGTTGAAGACAATATAGATAGAATCAGGCGATAGAACATACTTGCCATGGGATTCCCCCAAAGATGAGAAGAAGCATGCAATCGATCCACAACATTGTTTCCTTGAATCCCCCAATTGAACCTATGAAAAGTATAAAAAATCCGTTTATTTATACGAGAGATAATTACCAATCCAATCAGATGGATCTCGAGATATATCTTTCGTTGCATCTTGCACCAAAGCAGCAGGAACACAAACCCACTAAAACGTGAAATTGGCAGTCTTATTCAATTTTCATATTTGAGAAACGAACCAAACCAATGAAAATGCAGAAAAGCTGAACGACGTCGGTGTAAGCGACAGCATACAATCCTCCTGTGAAAGTGTAGAACACAGCAATAATAGCGGATATAATTACGGAAATATTCATATCCCACTGTAGAATGACAGATAACGTTGCACCTGAAACCACAGCCTCAATACAACTTCATAGCTCGATAGTAACCAACCAAGTGCTGATAAGATAGCTGCACTCCAGAATACTTCACCGAACAAAGCTGGCACAAACATCAATCCACCAACTCTTTGACCATATTTAATCTTCAAACTATCGTATGAACAATCAACCTATACTCATTCTAACTTGGAAAGGATCCAGCATAGTTATATATCCTTCTTCTCTCATTTTTTTTGCAAACAAAAGACCTCCCATTACTAAGGATATTGCATAGCCGATAGGAGCTTGGCATCCAGCAAGTCCACCGTTATATAACGCTTCTGCTGTTCCATTAATATAAGCACCTCCAACCCAAGTAGCTTCAAGCAATACCAGTTTATGAATCGTGGAGCTTTCTAGTTTACCTGTCATCGTAAAGATTCCAACAACTGTTCCAATATTCCGCCCTGCTAGCATCACCTCTTCCGTATGCGCTCCTTCATGATCGACCAAATCTTTTGCATCCTTTAATATATCACATAAAGTTATCTAACGTTTCAACTGTAGTACTTTAGATTTACGGCCTGCCCATACTCCTACAATTAGGATTAGAATATAGAATACGATGATAGCTAGAACGCCCATAAAGTCAGCCATTTTCTATAAAATCTGGATGAAATGAAACCAAAAGCTGTGTTTTGGGTATAGCATGTTAAGAGAACTTTGAATATCCGATAAAGTTAGAAGAAAAAAGAATAAAATATATGAAAAACTAAAGATAAGAAAATTTGACTTCTTCGTCCATGGAAGACATACTCGGGCAAACATCTTGCGGTTGCCAACAATCTGAAAATATTCAATTCTGACGAAGAAGACGAAGGTTGTCATGCAAAATATGTTAGGAAGCCGAAACGATTGGATGATGATGTAAAAATATTTCTGATGAAAAAATGACGAAAAAATGAACGTGTGGGGGAGGTGGACTGAATGAATTTGGAGAGACAAGTTGGTTAATTCAAGAGAGTACGAATTTGAAAGAAGATGAAGAGAAAGGAGAAGAAGAAGAAAACGAAGAAGAAGGAGCAGGAGAAGAAGAAGAAGAAGAAGACGGGAAAAAAGAAAAAGCAGGCAAAAGAAGTAAGTGTTTAGAATAGAAGAAAAAAGATGGATAAAGATAAATCAGATGGGCCTAAGTGAAGCAACAACGAAGACAAGGACGTTGATGGTTTTCAAATTATTTTAAGAGAGATAACTTCGTTTTATAAAAGTATCAGGAAGTCCATCGTAAACAGTAGTTTGGAGTTAAGAAAAAATGAAAAAAAAATATAAGAAAACTGAAAACAACAAAACATCGCAGAAGAGAAACAGCAGTATGGACATACGATAAAAGCAATTCGATATTCCTATAGAGGAAGTTAATGACTACGATTGGAGGGAACGAAGAAACTTGTTGAACAAAAATGGATTCTGTCTATAAATATACATAAAAAATAAAAAAAAAGAAAGTTCATAGTGAATAAAGAATTTCATTTGAATTTCGGAAGCTTCCATGAAATTCTCAGGTTTCTGCAATTCCCATGATACCACACTTGCTCAATGAGGTTTTTGCACTCAGAGAGACACGTCACTTCTCTCTATTTTCTCCAATTATATGACTCTATCTGAGCTTTTAAAAGCAGATGGGTTACGGAGAAAATTGATGCCATTCTTCTTCATTTTTTTAAGATTAACGATTAATTCAATGCTTTCTAAGGAATGATTGCGTAGAGAGGAAGAGAGAGAGTGAGAGATGGAAATTTCGTATTCGATATTCTAAGCAACGTGAATACGAACATTGGTGCTTAGCTTCATTCTTCATTTAAACTTTACAGTTTCAAGCATATGCTTATTGAGATTTTACTTATTGGTCTTATATAGAGAAAACAATCTTCTCAAGTAAGGCAATAACGATAATCAAGCGAATTATTGGATGCTTTCAACTCGATTATTTCAAACTTCTCCTGACCAAGACGAGATGCTCTAAGTGATTGAACAAAGCTAGAAAGGAAAATAGTTTGTGAGAAAAGCAGATTTTTTTTTATTTTGCAGTTTCTATCGAATAGTTGTAGAAATGGAAGTTCAAAACTCGGACTAGAAGAGGTGGAGTTGTGCTCGATTGTATCGACATATTGACGTTAGTTAGTACGATTTACGAAAGCTAACTTGATTGGAGAAAAGAAACAGCGGATAAGAAAAAGGAACAAACTATTCACTTTCATCCATAAGTGTCAAATGATTAAGAGCTTCAAAATTTGTGAGAAATTCGAGAACGCAAGAGGAAAAGCGATCTAAAGCGAATCGGCAGACGACTTTCATATATACATAAATATGGAAAGATTTGAGAGAAAAAAAATAATTTTTCAAAAAAGATTCGCCTAGAGATATGGATACAAGTTGTTGCTGAGAATATTGTGTCTGTTATCAGAAACTCAAAAATTGTTCCATGCGAACATGTGCAAATGAACTTCTAGTTCAACTCTAAGAAGAACTCACGGCGGGAATGTTGTGAAATGTTAAAAAGCTAATATAAAGAGTAGAGAGAGTATAGAGAGTAGCAAAGAAATAAAGGGAGAGACGGAAAGAAAAGGAAATTTTGAAGCCTAACTATCACTATTGTTCAAACGTCTTCTGCATAACAACAATGACTAAACGGCGAGATGGTGAAACGAATTCTCAAAAAAAGCACATCAAGCACTAGTGTATTCTGGATGAAGTTTTTGAGAGAAGTGGAAGAAAAAAATACTAAAATTCAGACAGATGAACGTCATTTATGAACTGTTTTTCGAATAAAAACATTGGAAATGCTTAGAAAGCAAAGAAGCTCTTCTGAATAACAAGCTAGAAACTTTTAAAAGTTTTCTAATCAAACATTCCGTTGTGATTCTATTAAAGCTCCTAGCTTACAACCCAAAATTTTTCTTTTTGATTCTTTGAACTTGACACCCACCTTCGAACCTTCTCCTATTCAAGCTTCTTCTCTCCTTTTTTTGCTTCATTAACCACTTGCGCTCAGTAAAAATTTCAGAATAGTCTGCGATTCTTTAAAAGAAACTCATCCGAATTTTATATTTGGCTGAAGCATAAAAAAGTTAAACTTCTTCAGAGACAAGTATTAATAATGAACGCTATGCGCTTGCAATAGAGGATAAGCTGGAAGTTTCGGAGCATTTCCTTATAGTTCCTCATTCAAGTATGAAGTTCAGAACAAAATGAAAAATGAGAGAGCTCACAAAAAAAGCGCCCGAGAACACATCGAAATATCAGAAGAAAAAAAAGAAGAAGAAGGAAATTGATATTGGAGAATACATCAGAGCACAACCGTTCACCCGTCCGTTTTCATGAAAGATGAAAACTATGTATAAGTACACCCTGTTGACGGTTAACGTTATGCTAATTAGGTGCTCAAGAACTTATGTAAAAAGAAACTCAACATGCATTTGAATTTTATCCTGTTTTTGAGGTGAAAAAACATTTCATTTCATTGAAGAAATGGACAGATAGGTGTGCAACGACATGCCTAATTCCAGGCTCAGAAGCAATTTAGTTGTCGCCTAGGAAAACTATGCCTATAATTCATATCTTCACGATTCTCAGCCTTTCATATACTGGCATCTCATTTCATTTTTAAATGGCGGAAAATGACAAAAACATAGATATATTCATTTCCAATTCAGTGAAAAAAAGTTGTCAGAAGTTTACAATACGAGACGAAGAGGTAATACTGAGACGACGGCAAATCATCTCGTTTTTGACAAACCTCAGGCTTATAATTTGGAAAAATGTAAAAGGTTCAATGCAACAATCAGATTTTTGAACAAATAAACATTAAAACTGAAGATATGAATGTAGAAGAAGGATAATGCATCGATTCCGAGTCTCATGGGAATGAACGAGCAAAGACAACACATTTTGTCTATACCAATTCCCACTCTAGCTATTGCTTCACTTCGAACTTTCTTCTCTGGTTAACAACAATTTTCATTTCGAGCTCTTGAAATTTTAGTATATAACGAATATCAAGATGCTACAGTACAAAGGAAGAGACGTCGTCATAAACTTCTGAAAGCTCCTGGTAGAAAACAGATGAAAAGCTAAAGAAAGTAGTCAATGCAAAATCTGATTTGTTGCGTCGACATCAAACATTCAGAAGTAGGAAGACTGATGAAGGAACGAACCTTAATCGTTAACTCGATTGTGCGTTGAATTTGTAAGCAGTTTAGGGAAGAAAGAGATTCAAAAAGAAAATAGCAGAAGTTTATAACATTCCATGACATAAATGAGAAATAAAAAAAACGAATTAACAACAATAACAACTCAACAATTTTCAAAATACCAAAAAAAAAACTATTGGAAAGATTCAACAATTTTTTCATGTTTCGACAAGTCTAAGACTCTTACTAAATCTTCTTTCGATCCACCAACAGCGACTATAGTTCCAGCATCAGGATTGAAAGAAGCTGAATGTAGTTCTCCGAGATTGAGGGCGGTGAAATGAACTTTTTCGATGTTTCCATCGTCATGAAGTTTGTATGTGTTCATGATCTAAATATGGGCATAAGATATTGCAATGTTTTTCTCTACAAACTCCATCATGTCCAAAAGAGTTCAACAGCCCTCTGATTTTCGTACTTAATACCAAACCACCGATGGATCCATCATGAGCCTTTTCCTCCCAAATTACTTCTCCTGGTTTTCTCATATCCAAGTAGCGCAAAATACCTAAACTCATTAGAGAAGTTATTAGTAAAATAAAAAAGTTCCTCACCATCATCGCCAGCCACGAAACAGGTGAAGGGATTAAAATGATTCCAGGTGACCTAAAAGAAAGTGATTACAAATATGTTCTCTACTGTTGCGATGCCTTTTCAATCTGAGTCTCAAAACTCCATTGAGCAGATGCAGAGCCTGCTTCTTCTCTACAATCTATCACTTCCACTGTGCCTTTCATTGTTCCTGCGAGAAGGAAGGTGGATTCAACTGGATGCCAAGCGATTGTTTGCACCTATATTGAAGTTACAAGCTTAAGCCAAAAAAACCATTTACCTCTCCATTTCTCTTACTGATAGATTGGGCAGGCTTACACTCGTCTAAATCCCACAGAACAATCTGCTTATCAGCTCCTGGAGAAGAAATTCAAAAAAAAAACAATACTCACAACAAACCTCCACTAGCCATAACATGCTCCATGAGTTTATTCCAAGCTAAACTGATGACAGCATCTTTATGACCTTGAGCGCTTCCATCTCTCTTAGAACGCTTCTTAGCTTAAAGCATAAATGATAACAATGTAAATTCGGATGAACAGTCATACTTTTTGGTTTCTTTCCTAATGTTAAGAATGGAGAGCAGGAATTTACAATATCTAAATCCCAAATATGAATTTCTGAATCCATGGTTCCCACGGCCACTAAATTTCCCTACAAAAATTTTTCTAACAAAGCTGTGCAAAAACACCTACCTTCCCAGAAGTCTCTTCGTTTCCTGGATCATAAAATATTGGTTCGATGCAGAGAGGGGGTGCTTCAAGAATATAGTCATGATGACAGTAAAAATCGCCAGTTTCTTCGTTATATACATGAACTTCTAATGTATACTCATTCTGAACAAGACATTAGAGAAAACTCGGAAAAAACTGAAAAACCTTATCAATCTTCGCAACAGCCAGAAGATTATCTGTAGGTCTTATGACGAAATCGTCTTTTTCCTCTTCTTCATCATCACTATTATCGTGGTTAGTAACATATGGATCATCCTTGTTGTCAGCGAAGACGGCAATTCCTTTCATACTGAAACAGAATTTTCATAGTAAAACATCTGAAACAAGCTACTTACCCTTCTTGTTTATCAACTTCATCGAAATTTTTCAAATATTTATCATCGATAGTCTCTTCCTGATCAGATGCGACTTCCTCTGGCTGTGAGCCTCTCAAACCTTCAGTAGGTTTCTCATCCTACAAACAATATCAATTTTTTTCAATATTTTAACAAGTACTACCTCATCTTCCTCCATTTTCTCATTTTCGGAGTCATCATCGTTATCTGTGGTTTCCGGTACGTCCCCTACATCATTGACATGTAATTTCATCAAAATAAAAAGAAACCTTGAATCAGTTCCTTCAATTCTGCATTTGTTAACTTGATTTTGTCCGGAATTTCCTTTGCGACTCCCCGAGGAATCCATGCGATATCGGATATCATAACCACGTGATCCATTTTACTGAAATAAACCATTTATTATCTCGAGAGAGGATGTTAAGAACAATTAAGAGAATCAGTTCGAAGTATTATAACTATACAAAGTACTAGGCCAATAAGTAGAAAGAACGTTTTTGAGATCGGACACCAGAACCTGAGATGAATCTATTGAGGATAAACCTATACAATCCTGCTCGGAATAGCCAAGACAAGAATATATCAAAGACTTAGGAAGTTTAGCATTATTGCATTTGTAAGCAATGCAAATTCTATCTACAGCAATTGATCTCAAGCTTTGAATTAAATACACAGCACTTTCCCTATTCGAGTTAGAGGGCAAAAGCTTCAAAAGACGGAAGAAACGAACATAGTTACAGGATTTGAAAGCGTTGAGTAGTCGAATCACAAGAGATCTCATATCGTCATTTAAACAGTTCAGGAAACGGTAAAAAGAATTATCATACGGCATATCGTAATAAACAAATATTAGAAAAGAAATAATGATTGTAGGGTCTCGCTCTTCTTTCTTATTCGCATTCAACCATTTTGAAAAGCACTCGTGTAGTTGAGTCGAATGTAGCACAAGTTCAAAAGAACTGAATGGCTTGAACAGCCCTAGACATAACGTTTCCAGATAAAACGGTATCATTTTTTCAAGAATAAGTATTGCTGGAGCGTTCCAAACATTCTTGATTATGATATCTTGTCGTACAGCTCTTAGTCTATCAGACACAAAGGAGAAAACAAGACACAGTTCCGTTTCCTTCAACTCTTGATATAAAGATATCAAATAATCCGTAGTTGAGCTTAAAACTTCCATAGTTCGAATATTAGATTCGGAGTCATAAGAAATTCCTGCAGCAGATCTCACATATTCTTTAACCATTTTGGAAGGGTCACACACAAGCTCTTTATGTGGTACGGTTGGATCGAGACTTTCCAATGGATGAATAAGTTTGTTTTTTTGTCGAAAATCAACTTCTTCTGATGAACACATAGCTTGACATGATCCGAAAGTTTGATTAGGACTTCTCATTATGCTGAAATAGCGAATGCAATAGTACTACCGAAATAAACTTAGAAAAAAAGATTAATGATGAAGTTACGTTGAGCAATTGTGAAAAATGTGCAGCGTACCGTTATACGTGAGGCAATATATTTTCAACCTCACGTCTCTCTAGAATTTTTTAAACTTTAACATTGCTATAATTAGAATAAAATTAGAATATTAATTCATTATTTTATAGTTTGGTAGGAAAATCTTATGAGTCAGGATTTGACACAGGTCATTATATGAAGTATTTGTTAAAGTATCTCATGTTTTAGCTCAGAGAGTTTCTCACCGTATATAACACCTTGACTGAACGTTGTTTTGGATCCTGTATTAGTGAATATAATACACACACCCTCACTAACCAGGAAAGTCGGTGCGTCAGTGACTGTAAGTTTTATCATTACTTTCCTTGCTCATTCGATATTGAGGCATCGACAAGCATATGAGAGTGAACCGTCGGCTTATGCTAGTTTTCGCAGAGCAGGCACCAAAAGTTCTTTTCAAGCAAGGCCAATCCACTCCAACCGAAACCGTTCTTTCTGCTTCCAAAAAAGTAGAAAGTACTGAGACAAAAGTAGAAACAGTAACTCCTGAGGCACCAGTTTCTGAACCCAAATCAGGTTGGCTATATGGAAGACTTCAGATATTAATAATCTACTTTGTACAGAATGATGATTATAAGTGAACACGGATACCGTACTGACGGCCGTAAATCTCATCAAATTAGAAATATCAACTGTAGGTTAGGTGTTTATCCTAAAGCTGAGGGATCAGCATACATTGAGCAAGGAAATACTAAAGTACTTTTTCAAGTCTTAATTATGTTGTCAATCTGAGCTTTAGGTTCTTTGCGCAGTATATGGACCTCATGAAGGTAAAAGATCTAAGCAACTTGAAGAGCGTTGTGTTATCAATTGTCAATATAGGTTCGAGTTAAACCCTTTTTTTTGCTAATTCAGTCTGTTTGCAGTATGGCGACTTTCTCTGGTATGGATCGTAAATCTCGACCAAGAGGAGACCGCAAGTCAAGCGAGTTTAGTAGATTATTGGAGAAAGCTTTCGAATCAGCTATCATAACTAGTACTTTCCCAAGAGCTCAAATAGATGTTTTCTTCGAAGTGATTCAGGTTATCAGCGCTTCATGACTTTTTGAAATCTCAGTATTCTTAGGCTGATGGATCCAATTTGGCTGCTTGTGTCAATGCTGCCTCTTTAGCCCTTGCTGATGCGGGAATACCCGTGAAAGGACTTGTTTCCGCCGTCACTTGTGGTATAGTTGATGGTACACCAGTGGTTGACGTGAACTCCCGAGAAGAAACTGATTTGATGCCTAGACTGACGGTTTCTTAAATCAGTGTGCTCATATAAATGCTTCAATTTTTAGTTGGCAACTATATCAGGAGGAGATGATGTTATTCTTGTTGAACTGGAGAATCGTGTACACATTGATCATTTTGCAGCTCTTATGGAATCTGCGAAGAAAGTGACCGCTGACGTTCATGAATGTCTTCATGCCGCCATTAGAACTCATTTAGTAGAATCCTCTGCTCTTCTATAATTGTTTTAGTTTTTAGTTGTTGTTGTATTTGTTGTGGATAAACAGTTTTTGTTTCCTATCAATTAGCCAAATGATCTTCCCAGGGGTTCTCCAGTTTCATATTATCTTTTAGTTATGTTTCTTACTGTAGACTGATAGTTTAGGATGTTCCGCATCTTAAGAACTGGATTCTTGGCCGTGAGAGCAAATTCATCCTCTGCTTCTCAAATTGTTAAAGATGGGAACTTTATGGGTTTAGTCAGTAACAGAAATCAACACTAATGCTGTTGTTTTGTAGGTATGATAAATGATGTCTTGAGAGAAGATATCATTGCGAAATCGGACGAGTCTTCAGCTACTCGTTTGAAATTCAGTTCAGCAGATGAACTGCTTAGTGTTAGTTCATTATTTGGATGTATTGTTTTCACAATTTTTTTTCAGTGGGTGAATGGCAGGAATGCTCTCAGTGTGGACGAGCTAAAAGATGTCATGATTACAGTTCCTGGCTTTCATACAGATGAAAGTTCAGTTACAAATATTGTTGAAAAGTACTTTATTTCACACTTATGATTAGTCCATAATTTTTTATAGGAGTTGGGGTTTAGTAGAATCTAAATGGAATGGAAAAGACTGCTTACCTTTACTGACCACATTACTAAGATTGAATATGACGAACACGAAATGTTTCAAAGACTTAGAGGTCATATGGAATGGTAATCTTCGGTTCATTTAGAATGACCCCGACTTATTTTTTTAAGAAAATGTTCAACAATTGCTGAAAGAAGAGAATATATTGCCAACAATTCTACCCTTTCTTCACGCTGCAAATGTGAATTCTTACAAGATTTCAGACAATGCTCTGACTGTCATAGACACAATTATAAATAACCAAATAAGGTATGGCTGCTGTTCGGATATCTACGTATATAACGTTTCTTTGTTCTAGAACCCTGAATAAGCCTTCTGATCTTCTAACATTACTCTTACATTATCAGTCTTCTAATGGAGATTGGCGAAACTTGGCGTATAAACAAGCTCATCAATTGCTCTCGATCATGTCGCTTTCAGAGATCGTTGGTATAATCAGGTTTCAAACTTATCTTTATGACTGTTCACTATGAAATTCATTCAGATGTCTTGGTGCTCATGGAAGACGAGATCTTCATTTCCTACACCCAGCTATTCAACGAATGACAGAGTGGGTGTTCTAATTGCAAGCATTTCATTAGTCTCTGCCTTTTAGGAGTTCAACTTCACTTAGTGTGCAACAAATTGTAGACATATCTTCTACTTTGGCAAAACTACGATTTTTCGATGCTCGCATCTTGAGGAAAGTCGATATTGATTTGAGAAAACAGATAAACCAGCTCAAGTCTTTTAATGATGTGTCAAGTCTTGTAGACTCTTTCAGCAGGTTGGAATTGAGATCATATTTTTTAAATGAGCAATAATTAAGGTTACGGCTAGGCAATCCAGATTTGTGGCAATGTTTAGCTAATTGGGTAAATGCGAACGCCAAGTTCATTCCTCCCATAGTCCTCTCTCGCATAGTCGGAGGTTTTGCAGTTGTAGGAGTCGAGGTGAACTTGTTCAAATTGATAAAATACGTCTTGAACCGTTTATTAATATTAAGGCGGCGAAACCTTCTGCAGAAATCCTTGCTAAAAAACTAAGGAAAGAGCTGGCAACTTCAGAGACAATGTGGCTGAATTCGATCTTTGCATTAGCATCCCACGATGCACTCACAACTGAGTTAGCGGAAACAGTTCTCCATAAAGAGTTCATCAGAAGGCTGTTCGATAATCCCAAGTAAAGCTATATTAGAGTTTATAGATTTCACATCTGCTTAAGGGTTTCGAAGGCTAATCAAATATATTTTGCATTGAAGTTGTTGAAAGTTCAACAAGTAGTTAGCAACACGTTTGGTAACACGTATACGGGACCAACAGTCTCGCGAAGTTCTTTCGGAATTGATTTTGATAGCCCCGAGATAGTAAGTGAAGTTTTCAATTCATAACTAAAATGAGATTAGATTCAACAAGCTCGTCTTCTTCGGTTCGGTAAAGGTGTCGATGCATATCAAGACATGTTTGTCAAAGGAGGATTGCAAAAGGTTCACAATGTGCTCTTCTCTTTATAACAAATTCTTCAAGATCGCACCATCTAGTCATTTTGGAGGAAGTTGTGTGACGAGTTCAGGCATTTTTGTTGATGAACAAGTTCTGATTGAGGTTGAGATTCTTAGTTAGTCATTTCTGACAGAACCCTTTAAAGAATGGGAAGTTGGTTAGTAAAGCTCTCTGGACTGGAAGAGAGAGAGAAGTCATCCCAATCATTTTTGTAACTTGGCAGCAAACGGCTCAAGTACACTATATAACCTTTTTGTAGCATTTTGAGATCTGATTTTTAGAACTATGCTGATGAAAAGAAAAAGTTTGTTCTTCTGGGATCTGATCAACTCTCCTTAAAGTTACTGAAAGAGGAGGGGAAAAATCCTATTTGTATTTATGAATCGGAACTGTCGAAGTGTTCCACACAAGCTGAAAAGATATCTCTTCTCAAGAAAAATTTGTTCGAGTCTAATGAAAACTGATTTATGGCAACTGTAGTATCTGAAAGAATAGAGTTTATTTATTTTTGTTATTTTCGTCTCATAAATCTTGAAGAAATCGTTATGTATGATGGAAGGGGTAATAATGGCCGATCGTATCGATAAGTTTGTCCGATAGTTTATAATGTTTTCTTTGTCTCTCATTTCCTTTCAAAATGTTTCATCTTGTGACAGATACTAAAGTATAATGGAGGTATGCGGACATGAAATCGAAGACGATCGCTTACCAAATGGCAAGCTACACCTAACCTTAGTTCTCCCTGAGTTGAACACAGTTACTGAACCTGTATTTAATATTTATATTACGTTTGAGGTCAGTTTCATTTCTTGACCACGACTTATTTCCTTTTAACAGACTAACTTACCCAGAATTCCTTTAATGGGATTTTTTCCTCAAAGTATTTCTTCCTGTGATGTAAAAGATGAAGAGTTTCTACGAGCCTTTGTAAATGATTTTATTTTGTTCAAGTAGGATGGTTAGCGTTCCCGTTGTGATCTTGTTCTTACAGAAGAGATTTCCTTGATAAAATTGAGCGAGTCGAGAGAAATGACATTCTAAGAATCCAATTCAGACGAAAACTACACGATCAGTTCGGTGTGAGGTATATCATGCTTACTCGAGACTTTTTACTATTTTTCTTCTTCTAGATTCTTCTACCACTCCGTAAGCCAGAATAATTACTTATCAGATTTTTATATCTTCGGCTTATGTTCTGCAAGAACTCTGGTAATTTTGGAACCAAGGGTACATTAACAGCATAATTTTTTGGACTTTCAAAACATCTTCAGGCAAACTTCCAAGTTTTAAATGAGCAAGCTTACTTGGCTTCTTTATCTTCGCCGATGAAAGCGAAAATAATCACTTTCGAGTGTACAATTTGTTTCGAACATTTCTTCCCCCACGAAGTAAGTTTTTTCGGGCTGGCTAGATGGGTTTACTTTTTCAGATGGTTGCTCTTCCTTGTGGGCACATTTTCTGCAGAGGTGAAGCATCCAAACTTTCGAACTGTGCTATTTGCACGAAACCGAAAGGTTCAAAGTTTCCCGCAGTTCGTTCGAATTATCAACATACCATTTCAGAACCTCAATTTCCTTTAAAAGTAAGAGATGGTGCTTGCCCAATAGATAAATGCTTTAATTCGAAGGATCTCTATATTCTATTACCTTGCTGGTGAGTATGCTTATACTTAAGGGAAAAATTACCTTTGATGGTCTTAGCTGTGTAATCGCCCACGGCATGGATTCTATTCGCATTCAGCAGTGCCCGTTCAGCACTTGTAAACGGAAAGTAGAAAAAACTCAGAAACTGTTTTTCCATTTGAAACCTTGAAGAGCTGTTTTTTTTATGTTTATATCAATACTCATATTCATATTTATTTATTTCATACGATCAATCGAATAAACATTGAAACTGATATTATTCAGAAATGTCTTTGCTCAACTAATGCTGGTATTATATAAAATTATTTTACACCGAAAATGTTTTCTTCTTTGCAATCGTGAGCTTGTACAAACGTGTAGTGGATTAGTGACTTATGTAATTCCGAAATTGGTCATTGGAGGCATGTTCCAACTTTTCAGAACAGCCACAACCGAAACGACACAGATCTGGGAACAGTGAATCCTGAATTTTATCTAGCCACACTGCCATCAGAAACTTATAGAACTGCTTGGAGAACTTAACTGAACATGTTGAACATGTGAGTTTGTACTAGACATAAGTTTCTGATGTTCGGAATGATAGTTATTTCTGATTTACGAATAGTTTCAATTTAGAACCTTATTGTTTCGAATATTCTCAGGAGAAAGAAACAGTTTTCATATGGAATATATCAATCTGATTGATTTGATATAAAAATGAGAACCAGAAGATGCATGATGAGCTTATATATCTGTACAATATAGTTATATAGTTAAGCCCCAGTGTTTTTACTCAAATAATGGTCCTGACGCGATTATGTAGAGCGCTGACATTGCTTGGAGTGCGAGCGCATTTGTCTGCTTTTTACTGGTTTCTTCTCTCTGGTAAGATTACTTCATGTTAATTGAAAGGGTTGATACTAAGAATATTTTTGAAGGTGAATGCACCCGGGAGTTGGATCTGTTCAGAAACAGCTTCGAGAAGATTGGGATAACAGAGAATACGTTCAGGTGTGTAATATTACGTGAACAAAATTGATATGAGTGCTTTTGCTGATCTCCCATGTTGTATTTAGCATTTTACTTTGAATTTTCCTGTTTTTTTCTTCTCATAAACGAGTTACAGATTCTTGCTGATAATATAAAGAGTATCTCTAACTTCCTCTCGAGCTTCGGTTAGTTTGATTTTTGAATTATTGATTGCTTATTCGTCATAAACATGGTATAACTGTTTCATTTAGAACTCTCTTGTCGAAGCAAACTTTCGAACCTCTCTGATAAGCTAAGTCTTTTAGAAAGGAAAGTCGAGTTTCTTGAAGCAAAGGTTAGTATCATTGCACTTCTGAAAACAAAATGAATTGTTCGCAGGTAACTCGAGGAGATACTCTGTCATAATGTCTGCAACTGGTAAAGTAGTTCGCAGCGGTGCTTCTGCCGTCCGCACTGTTGCTCCTATTAAATCTGTTACCAATGAACAAGCTCGTCGTTCTGTTCTTCAAGTTTATAAGGAACTGTAAGTTATGAATTTGGTACTATATATTGCATTATTTGAAAGGCAACGCCTGACCCCTAAGTTCTGGTGGGATTTCGGTCTTCATGATATGCCTCTTGGAGTTTTCAGAGCTGTGTTGAAACAGCAATTCACCAAGAACTCGCATATATCAGATATTCGTGTCGTCGATAGACTTGTTGGTGAAACCAATCAGGTATGCTATTAGATACATTCGTTTGCATTTTCGTTCTTACAGCACATTTATTCGATCCGCTATGCTTTCTACAACAGTGATCACGTACGCAATTATCTGTTCCGTGAAAATGTAGAAGCTAAGCCAAAAGATTTCCTCTCCAAGTTCCTTAATGGAAAGAATTAAGCATTTGGTTAATGGCTGTCTTTTGTGTTTAGTTTAGTCTGAGTTGAGCCATTGTAGATTTTGTATTTTAAATTCTGCAATAAAATTAGTCGTTCGAATAGTCATTGGTAATGTCCAACAACAATATTTCCCTATTATCATGCTAGGCGTTGAACACCTATTTAGATTATGAAACATTTGACAAACCTTGTGAGGAAATCTAACATATTATCTTCCCAATGGCGGCAGATGTCGTCATCGGTTGATAAAGAAGAGATAAAACGCTTCAGTGATCTTGCTGAGCACTGGAGAGATGAAGAAGGGCCATTCAAAGCTCTTCATTCCTTAAACAAACTTCGAATTCCTTGGATCCTGAAGAACCACTCGGTGACATTGAGGGAGATTTCCACTAATCGGGTCGATTCTAGAATAGAGATGGCACGTTATTAGATGTAGGGTGTGGTGGAGGAATTTTATCTGTGCCACTTGCGAGATGTGGGTATAATGTCACTGGTATTGATGCTGCTGAAGATGGTGTAGGTTGAAGAAACTCGTGTATTAGCTGACTGACATATTCATTTGAGGTTGTCGCTGCTAAAAGATACATGAGTTATCCGAGCATACAAAATTCTGGTCTAGCTTCTCGTCTAAAATACAACTGCACCACAATAGAAGAGTTCGCCCGAAGCAATGAGAAAGGTTTGCTCGCATAGCTTTATTTTTTGAGTTGAACTACATAAGGAACACATTGAACAGTCTTATTGTTTGTTACTTTCCCAAATAGATCAAATTTGATGTAGGTCAGAGCACCGAAAAATACTATGCCCGCCCCTTTTAGACAGACGGTTACTTCTAAATGACGATGGTGACACATATTTTTCGAGCTTCGTTCATTAATAATGTTGTTTATCATTATTTTGTTATCATTCTTGATAGTCACGTAGTGGCTTATTCCAAAGGATAGCACATTGATCATTTTTATTCTGATAGGGTGCTTGAACAAATCGAAAACACGAAAATTTAAATCGATTTTCTCTGAAGGCGACTCTTTGTTTGCTTAGCTGTTTTAAGAGTGAATTAGAAGCAATGTTTTAAAATATCGACCACATTCCGGACGTTTTAATTTCCAGCTTGCTGGCTTAACATGACCGAAAGAAGTAACTCTGTTGTGTCGTGACTGTCTTTTCCTTATTAGGCTACTCCGCTATTGCGAACTACCGCGAGTGTTCTGCGCGTCTCACTCTGACTTACTCGGTCTGTTCTAGCATCGCCGCGTTCTCTTATATTTCTCTTGAATATTTTCCGATTTATATTTAATTTTTTTATAAAAAAGATGGATTTCATCAGAATAATGTGCGAACGATCTGAACATTTGAAAACTTTCATTAACACATCTTCATTTCTGTCATAAATTGGGTTACGCTGTCTTGTGTATGCACTCCTTTTTCGCTGTTTTGTTGTATCGATCGCTGTGTCCGCTCAATTGGTGCCCGCGCCACCCAACTCAGCACCATCATCGATATATCCTGCATGTTCGCGTCGCCTTTTCTCTAATTTTTCACTCTATTTTCTATAAATTCTGAAAATTCCAGGTTTCGACGTGGTTGTCGCTTCTGAAATTCTCGAACATGTGGCAGATATTGATTCCTTTGTTGAATCTTGTGCAAGAGCGACCAAAACTGGAGGCTCTCTGTTTTTCACCACAATCAATCGAACCTTAATGAGTAAAGTTGCCGCTATCTGGTTAGCTGAAGTAAGAACACATTCTTATGTTTTCGAAGCTTTGATTTATTTGTTATAGGATATACTAAGAGTCGTTCCACAAGGTGTGCATGAATGGGAAAAGTTCGTAAAACCCAGCGAACTGACGGACTGCTTAGATCGATACGGCTGTCGCGTGAAGTTGCTGTTCGCACGTTATAATTTTTTTAATTTCCCTTTGCAGATCGGTTGGTGGATTTACTTATAATTTACTCAAAAACGAATGGGATTGGACGGCCAATAGTTTAGTCAATTATGCTCTCGTAGCTGAAAAAATCGAATAAATATCCTTGTGTTATGTTTATGAATCATCTCGCTGTTGTCTCTCAGCTCCGCTACTTTTCGTTGTAATTGATGAAGTTTTTACCGTTTGTTTAGTTACCTTCTCACTTAGCAATGGATGAGGAATACGATGCCATCGTTTTGGGCACAGGATTGAAGGTTAGCTTTTCACTCATAATCTGCGAACATTACGTTTTAGGAATGTATCATCTCTGGAATGCTTTCCGTGTCCGGAAAGAAAGTTCTCCATATTGATCGAAACAATTATTATGGAGGAGAATCTGCTTCCTTGACACCTTTAGAGCAACTCTATGAGAAGTTCATGGGTATGCGAAAATCGTATTTTCTCTTGAACCACGTGTATTTAGGTCCAAGCGCCAAGCCACCATCTGAGATGGGACGTGGACGTGATTGGAATGTTGACCTGATCCCTAAGTTCTTGATGGCCAACGGATCTATGGTTAAGCTTCTTATTCATACTGGAGTTACTAGATATCTCGAGTTCAAGTCTGTCGAAGCTTCTTATGTCTACAAAGGCGGAAAGGTTTGTCTAGAAACCTATGTTTTAAGCTGAAATCTGATTACAGATCTACAAAGTACCAGCTGATGAGATGGAAGCTCTCGCTACCAGCTTGATGGGAATGTTCGAGAAGCGCCGTTTCAAGAAGTTCCTCGTCTGGGTTCAAACTTTCGATAAGCTTAAACCAGATACTTGGCAAGGACTTGACCCTGAGAACAGCACTATGCAACAAGTAAGTTGATTTGATAGTACGAAAACTTTATTTTATTTTTAGGTTTATGAGAAGTTCGGTTTGGACGAGAATACTGCTGATTTCACTGGACATGCTCTCGCTCTTTACCGCAATGACGAGTGAGTTGATAAAAAAGTTTGACAACATTAACAACCGTATATCAGGTACAAGCAACAACCATTCGGACCTACCGTTGAGAAGATTCGTCTTTACTCCGATTCTCTTGCTCGCTATGGAAAGTCTCCTTATCTCTATCCTCTGTATGGTCTTGGAGAGCTCCCACAAGTATATTTGAAATAGTTACCGTTGAAAAGATGTAATTTAATAGGGATTCGCTCGTCTTTCCGCCATCTATGGAGGAACTTACATGTTGGACAAGCCAGTCGATGGTCTTGTGATTGAAAACGGAAAAGTTGTTGGAGTTAAATGTGGTGAAGACACTGTTCGTGGAAAACAAGTATGTTCACTTATCTGAAATTATCTATAAGCTCTGGTTTAAGGTCTACTGTGATCCTTCATACGTTCCTGACCGTGTAAAGAAGGTTGGACAAGTTGTTCGCGCCATCTGCTTGTTGAACCACCCAGTTCCAAGCACAAACGATGCTCAATCAGTTCAAATTATCATTCCCCAAAAGCAAGTTGGAAGACATTATGGTAAGGGAAGCAAAAATGTTGAAAATACGAACATAACTAATTGAAGATATCTATGTTTCCTGCTGCTCCAATACTAACATGGTAACTCCTAAGGGATGGTATGTTGCCATGGTCTCCACAACAGTCGAGACTTCCAACCCAGAAGCTGAAATCCTTCCCGGTCTCCAACTTCTTGGAACAATCTCTGAGAAGTTAGTTCTATATATTGTTCTAGTTATAATGCCTTGTTCAGATTCATCACTGTTTCTGACGTTTTCGAGCCTACTGATTTGGGACAAGAGTCTCAAATCTTCATCTCGACTACCTATGATGCTACAACTCACTTCGAGACTACTTGCAAGGTAGATCTCTACAGTTTATTGATGAATTTCAATTTATCGTTTCAGGATGTGCTGGACATATTCCAACGTGGAACAACTAACGAGTTCGATTTCTCGAAGATCACTCACCTGAGCCTCGAAGACAATGAATAATTTCCTTGAAGGCGGTCGAAATTCGTGGAGGTGGTGAAATCATCTGTTAAAAATGCATTCATTTCCTATCTCCGTTCTATGCACACTCGCTTTCTATTTATTAATCCTAATTATTCCCCAGTATTGTATTTTTCTCTCTCCTCCGCTTCGCTCTTGTAAGAGTTGTGCTTGTTCTTGGTTCTATCGATAACTGTTTAAGATTGTGATAATCCGTAGTGGGACTGTTCCCTTGCTTGGTGGTTTCTTTCTGAATTCGTTAATTGTTCTGATCCTGGCTTCATAAATCTTTTCGTTTCCACTGAGAAGCTGTGATGATGCTAAGTTCAAATTGTTTTTAATGATGAGAATTAAATAGTAGGAAGTTTGAGTTTTCAGTGGAATCCAGATTCGTTATACCAATCGTCATTAGAGATTAGCTATTCAGCTAGCGTTGTGTGAATTAGGTTGCTTTTGAATTTCTATTTTTGGGACAGGTCTATAATCTATAGTTGCGATATGACTCATTGTTACAGCGGTAGAACAATAAGCGAGGAGTATCTTTCTTTCTGAAATTAGGTTGGCCATGTCTTCCTATAACTTCATATTGAATGAGAAACAGGAAGTGTAAAGTTTTTCTTTAACAAACTACAACTTAGATTTGAAAGAATATAGCTTTATAATATACATATCCATTCACAACATTATATTTAACTATATCAAATTCTTCAGACAATTTAAAGGTACATGAACATAGCGAAAATTAAGGCTTTATATATGGCATGCTTGTTAGCTAAACGGTGCAACATATGTGTTTAAAAAGTATTCAAACATATTAGTCGATGATAAGTTAAGTTATTAATGAAAATATTATTACTCTTATTAAAGTATGAAACTTCGGATATAATCCTGTCCCATTGCCAAGCAGCGAATACTGCAATGGTGTACCGGCTTTGCTCAGTGCTCGAAATTATGATAGATAGCCTTTAGTGTCTTTTTACAAAGTCACGAATTTGGTAAGGGATCAGATTGCTGGTGTCGATGTAATTATCAACTGCTTCTTTGGTTTTCATCGTTGCTGCTAACGTTCTCATCACCACATTTGAGGCAAGACCGGCCAACGTTAAGTATTTACCTGAAAATCAAGCTAGTTATTGTGTGTGTTTCTTTCTATACCAGATTGGATAGTTTTCAATAACGACAGTTCAACTAAGTCCAGGCAAGTGTTATCTTCTTTATTCCTCGCGAGAATAGGAGCTCCTGAGTTCAGAAGGGTGTGTACAATGCTCTCTCTACAAAATTGGTGTTCTTCATTAAGCGATTACTCGTTAATCTCACCGGGGTTTGATGTGAAGAAGGAGAAGATGAAGAGGAGTGTTCCCATCTTCGTTTTGGGCCGAAATATCAACTCCTCCTTCTATCAAGCGCTCGATAACATAATTACAGGGCATGCTTAAAAGTTTTCATAAAATAATCACTAGTCACTTCCAGACATACTCTACTGAATCTCTATTCTCATTATCAGTTAAAGCCAAATGAAGAGGTAGAACCTTCAGCTTTTCACAGACTCTTACAAACCTGAAGAAGAGAATAACAAACAGAACAAAAAAATTTTTAACCTCTTAACATCAACGAAAACTTCCGTGATTTGGCGAAGTGTTCCGGCATTTTCGCCTCTATTTTGTGGATGATGAAGAGGTAATGATAATCGGTATATCTGAAGAGAAAAATTATGGAAAATCAAAAGATGTATATTACCATAAACAATATTTGCAGGGTGATCAGGACTAAGTTGATTTTTTCCTTCTCTGGATCGTACTCCAACTGCTGTACTTTTTGAATAGCAGCAAAATCTGTCTCACGAGATGCGCGCTCTAGCTCATAACATACTCGATCATACAGTTCTGTGACTTGTTCAGCTTGTACAGACCATCTACCATTATCAAGATTATTAGCTTGTTCGTTAAGAGCCAGAGAGAAAGTTTCTTGATATGCTTCAAGAGTAGCAACTGTACAAATATTCAAAGGAGGCAAATATCTTCAAAGTATATCATTACATGAAACCAATTAAAATTTTCTTACTTCTGCTGTAGAGTTAACGCGTGCAGCCATAACTCAAAACATCTCTTTGATCGCAAAGTATCACAGTAAATAGCTCCTCTATATCTTAGAAAATAATGAACATCCATGTGCGCCGGACCGATAATTCTTTCTCTCATTATCAATGACTGAAAATAATGCATTCCTTAAGTTGGTTTTGCAGAAACCAAGTGGTTTCATGAGAACCATTCGAACCAGTGGCATTACTAAATTCATGAGTGAACTGTACCGCGCTGGCAATTATTTTTGAGCATATAGAAAACAAACGGTGCTGGTATTCATCTTCATGAATCAGAGAGTTGAGCGACAGTGCGTTTCATTTTCCAAAAATTTTTGAAAATCGAACGGTGGTGCATTTCATTTTCAAACATTTTGGGAGGCGAACGGTGGTGCAGTTCATTTTGAACAAAATCAAAGAGAAGCGGTGGTGCAACACAAGCAATATGAACCAAATTTGACATCATGAAAACTGTTCAAGGAGAGGGAGAAAATAAACAGCCAGAAGAGGTTTGTTTCTAATTTGTGTTCAAAACAAAATAGAGCAGTACCAGTATCATGAACATCTCAAAATAATTGAGGATCAAGTTACTTACTTGCATATATATAGCATCCAGATGCCCTTGAATCGCTTCGACATCTTCTTGTGTATCTATCTCATTATCTGTTTCATACACTTTAGATATTTCATGTTTATCATATATGCCTCTCATCTCCTGAATATTTTGAATTCGTAAAGTATATGAAACTATCTCATGCTTACAATTTCCTCTTCAGGAGTCAACTTAACATTTGCGGCTTCTTTCCATAGAGTGATTGCTCCAAGAACGTTCATTTTTTTATCACATTTTGTGCAACCGAACAACTTCAATGCATCTCTCCTCAATATGTTGGATTTACAGTATTTCAGTAGTACGGGCAAAACCTGAAATACTAGTATGACTATAGTTGTGTTGCTACTCATCACATTTCCATTCCCATATAATGCACTACATAGCAAAGGGCAAAGACCTAGATCATCTTTCTCCATTGTTGCCCCGTACTCCAGTAAGACTTCACAAACTTCAGCATGATCCCCCTCAGCAGCATCATGAAGAGCTGTATTTCCTAAATACATTTTTTTCAAGACTTCAAATTCCATTGAAATACCTTTGAAACTGCGTTGAGTTATACTAGCTCCCTTAGAAAGCAAATATCTAACAACGCTAGTCTGAAATGAAATGTATGTATAACATCAATTCTAGTAAGAACTGTGAACCTTTCCCTTGAAAGATGCGATCATCAGGGGAGTATGCCCTAGTCTATTTGGCGTTTCGATATCAGCTCCATTTTCGACAAGAAATTTAACTGAACCCGAACATTTTGAATGTATGTGTAGATATATTATTACCTATACTAAGATGACCATCATAACATGCACTACGGAGCGGAGTGCTACTGGTACTTGTGGCCAAGTTGATATCCGCTCCTGCTTCGCTAACAAGGAACCGAACAACCTAGCATCGATTTTGAAACAGGTCTACAATAGTCACTTACATTTTCTCTACCTTGCGCAGCTGCAACCCAAAGTGGTGTAGCAGATTCTATAGCTCGAATATTATGAACATCTTTAGAAAAGTTAACAACCTATTGTCTCGCCTTCAATTGAAACATTTCCTCTGACATTAGGATCAGCCCCTATTCGGATCTGAAAATATAACTGAAGCAAAGACTATAGATGTGAAGTTACTAAAAATTCGACAACATCTAAATTTCCTTCGCTAGCGGCTACTACTAACGGTAGATTCTTTTTCTCAGTGTTGTTCAAACACTGGTCAATCCACTTCCTACTTCTCGTGGGCTTGAGAAACACCTTCAAAAGCGCAAATTAGAGTCAAAACAGAAAAAGATAAATATACCCGTAAGCGTTTTAAATTGTCGTCTGCTGCTGCATTGTATATGATAGAGCGGAATTGGAGACCATCAATGTATTCTTTCGGCATATAAACACCTGAAACAACGTTTAAAAAAACCATAGATTTAGATATCTTCATATTTGAAAGCATAGCGGAAACTTAAGTAAAGCTTGAGCATTGGAAATCGATATCACGCCTTCAAATCCAAATTAAGTCATATTACTCGGTAAAAATAAAGCTTTTGGATAAGTACGCAGTTTAAGTAGCAATCTATCCAGGATATTTTTAATGAAACGAGCAGCTTTTGCAAGCTCATCTCATGCTGTAGCTACTCCGAGATGCTAGGAAGATTTATATCCTCTTCGACAAAACATGCGTTCATTACATCAGCGTTATTTCATTCGAGGCGGAACGTATGTTCAATATCAAACTTTAACTTGTTGAAAACCGCTTCAACCTCTTCTACCCCTGGGTTCCCCAAACACTTCTCAGATGTTGCAGATTCGAAAAATACTCAAAACAATGGCCAGTCACGACAAGAGAAAGGTTGGGATTAAAATTTATGTATTTCTCGACCAAATTGTTTTTAGCTAAAGTTCGACGAGCGTATGCCTTAGGAGGTTGTCTGCTCTTCATTTGGCTATCCACCCATGGCATTCTCCTTTACAGGTTTGTCTCTGTTGATGAAGTCTAGAGTAAATCGAATCATATTAAGGCGTAGGAATGAATACAGAAATTTGAACGAAAAACTACCTGCTATTCCATTTGCTGATTTCATGGACAACTACCTTTCCAAGGGTTTGGTAAGCATTGTTTTCAAAGCTCTTCTATGCCGAATTTCAGGTGAAAACAGTCGTTTTTCAACCTCAGTTCAACGTTGCAAATGTATATTTGTTCAGTAATGAAGAACAACAGATGAAGAACGTGGTTGTTTCAATGGTTAGATTGTTCCTACTATGATATTGAAATTTTGTGTTGCAGTTTCGTGCTGCTCCTGATAAATTTTCTCGACCTCCTGATGTGAGATTCATTTTTGAAGGAGATGACAAACAGGTAAGCTTGGATTGAATGTTGAACTGAACCTCAAGTTTTTTCAGCTTGAAAACGTTATTTCTAATGTACAAAAAGAGGCTATGGAAGCAGGAGTGGAACTCTCATCAGTTGAGTACTCCGTTGATCAGTTCCCAAGTTATAGGTGCAGTATCTTATAAATTGTTACCCTCGTACATAACATAGCATTACAGAGAGCTTTCTTTCATAATTGCAAGCACCTTGTTCACCCTAGCCGCAGTAACGCTGATGAAATAGAGGATAGTTACAAATTTTTTCATTCGAAAAAAAGATCGATAAAAGTTTTAAAATATTCACAAAGTTCAAAAATAAGTTATCAAGTAAAGCGGTTCAATATCACAATAGAAAAAGTGAACACACATGAGCGAATCAGAAAGCTTACAGCAATACGTATATGACAAATTTGGAATCTATGAAGTTAATCACATCATCTTTAATATTAGACTTTTATGTGCAGATAACAATTTATGATGAAGTCAGTTATCCGTTGTAGAATGTGGGCTGAAGAGAAGGAAAGTTTTTAATGCAAACGGAGGATACGGAATTCCTACCTTAGATATTGGTTTGTCCAACTCGACTTCATCATCGGAAGAATCACTTCCCTCTTCTTTATTTTCCTTGGCTGTCTTGCCATCAGAATTAGTATTTTTTGGTCTGGTTTTTGAATCAAAGCACTGAAACGGAAACATTATGAGATCATGGACTTTCGATTTACCTTATCACAAACACGAACTGGGTTATTCTTATTAACTGTATCAATTTTTAAGGAATGTGTGGAGCAACCTCCGCAAACAACGTCACCACAAGCACGACAATGATGCTTCAAAGAACAGAAACAATGAAGAACAAAAGGAAAGAACTCACCCTACGACTAACTAAATTAAATTCTTTTCGCTTACAACACATGCACTTCGTAGCGACATTGTCTGGGACCCAAACAGGAGCTAGTTGAACTTCTTTTGAATCTTCTTTCGCTATAATAACTCGGATGATCATTGTTTCAGAACAAAACAAACATTTTATCACATCAACGCATCTTTTTATATGGAGCATCCATTCTTTCTTTTCTGTAGCTGTTGCAGCATATACGGCAAATGATTTTGATGGTGTTTTGATGACCCATCCATTTTTCAAAGCTGGAAATAAAAAGTGTGATTACGGCACGCTAAAACTGGCTCACTTCCTTCATCTAAGAGATCTTCTAACGTAACGGAATCTAGTGGAATCACCCTTTGCTTGTTATACCGTTTTTTTGAAATAACAATGTTGCCGTAAACTAGAATATCATTGAACAAAAAGAATTGCCTCTGTTTCGGTTTTTTCCTTAAAGTATTTCATAATCGAGAAGTAACGCATCAAACACAAACCTGCACATTTTAACGAGGATTCCTTCTCCTACTAAAACCCGACCGTAAGTATTCAAAGTCATACTTCCTTTTCCAAAACATTGCTCCACATTAACAACTCTTCGACTATTAACTTCACTGTGAACTGAAAGCAGAAATTAAGAAATGAATAAATGAAGAATATCGAAGTACCCAGACGGTCTACCATTGCGGAGGAATGTGGAAGAGGCTGAAATAACAAAAAATAGAAAAAGCATAACTAAATTATTCAATATAGTGAAGAAATTAAGATGAAAACCATCTGAACTTATCAGAAATAGTAATTTGTGAGTCAGCTGATTCTTCTTCACTTCACGGTTTCTCCGAAGTGTACGTTTGTTACAATGTGACGCACATAGTACGCAGAACCGACTAAACATCAAGCAGGCTTGTTTTGTACATAAATTATCTCAGATTTGTTTATATAGAACAATTAAACAACCAAGTGGATATCTAGAAAAGTTTTTATAGGATGTAAGTATTTAGCACATATGCGAACAAAATCGATTTTCTTACCACATACCGTATGTGTAATACAATTGCTGTCTGATTTACACTATATCATTCAATTGAGCTTCAATGCCTTCTTTCCTTTCTTTTTCAACATAACTCTTTTTTTAATTTAATGAGCATTTTCTCTTTTTCATATCTGTTTATTATTCACAACTGTTTTGCATATGCAACTGTTCACACACACAACCACACACATTTTCAATAATCATTTTGACTGATAGTATTATTTCACAGAGTTGGGTGTCCTATGTTCTTCCGAGCTTCAAGGCTACGACAGCTCATAATTGTAAGCACTGTATTAGGAATTATATTCTTAATCAATACAGCTAATTTTAAAAACGATGCTGAACCTACTACCTTGAAGGTTAATAAATATTTTTTGAAGCAGTCATTATTTTTCTCAGGATTTCAACATTGTTGTATCTGGTCATGATGGAGTGGAAGATGGCAAGTTAGGAGGATCTGCCAACATAGATAAAACAATTGATGCAAGGAAAAAATCTCTACTTCAACAAGTTTAATCGTTTTTACGATATTATTTTTGAACTTCAACTATAGACATGCCGAGTGCCTAAGCTAGACATCAATGGCACAGAGGTTCGAGGCTTCTTCCACACACCTCAACCTCTACCATGCGGAAAATCTGCGAAGAACTGGGTTTTTATTGATGATAATGGTGATCTACAGATTAGCTCTGATAGGTACAAGCTTTTTGAGTTCACACATGTTGAATATCTGTTCAGAAAATCAGCAAATTGTAAAATAACTTACTTTTTGCGAAAAAATGGAGGTGAAAACACTTACCTCGCTCCGGTTGAAGTTGTTTTTGGGAAACCAATGAAATATGATTTTGGTAAAGTCTTCTGTACAGATGCTGCAAGTGGCCGAAAGTGGTACTTTTTTGTCATGGTTCTGAAAAACATTATCTCCCAGGTCGAACTTGCTTATGTCTGCTGCCAAAATTGACGTGGTAGAAGAACGATTGAAGAAGTCGTTCGAGAAAGATAATGAAAAAACAAATGTCTTCATCTTGGTGTTCGACTCATTGAGTCAATTATCTTTTCGTAGGAAGTTACCTAAAACAGTCGAATATTTGGAAAAAGTACTGGGTTCCACTGTATTAAATGGTGAGCATTTGCTCATATAGAGGCTTAGTATAACAACTATTAAGGATATAACATCGTTGGTGATGGTACCCCTCAAGCTATCATTCCAATCCTCACAGCATCTACTGAAGTAGAACTACCATTGACTAGGTTAACATGCTGAAAAACGAATTCTTATTTTTTTTTAGGAAAAGATATCGCGAAGCAAATTACGTAGACGATGTTTATCCTTTCATCTGGAACAACTTTTCATCTGAAGGGTATGCCACTATCTACGGAGAGGACGCTTTTAATATCGGTGAGCTACGATCATCTTTCTGTATAGTTTTTAGCTTAGGTACTTTCACATATCGTCTGAAAGGTTTCCGAAAACAACCGACAGACCATTATCTGACCCCATTTTTCAAAGACTATGAAGCAAAAGGAGGAGGTCATTGTTTAGGATCGGAGCCACTGCATAAGGTTCTACTTGATCCGATACTTCCCAAGTTAATAATTCTTTTTAAAGTCATGGTTTTCTTATGCAAAACAATTTATGAAAATTTACAAGCCATATCCAAGGTTTTTATTGATGCATCAATCTCTTTTGTCACACGACGATATTAATCTTGTTCAAGTTGAAGACGATGATCTCTACAAATTCTTGAAGAATATGAATGAAGAAGGTAATCGCTAACTTTCTTATTCATGAACATTTTTTTGTTGAAGGATATTTTGATGATTCGATGGTAATTATCATGGCTGATCATGGACATCGCTTTGCAAAGTTGAGAGAGACACAACAAGGCCAACTAGAAGAAGTTTGGATCTATCGAATCAAATTAAATAGATTTAATATAATTACAGCGCTTGCCATTCGTGTCCGTTTCTCTTCCTGCGAAGATGAGGGAGACTACAGTAGGAAAACAAATGCAGGAGAACTTAATCAGAAACAAAGAAAAGTGAGAATCGAAGCGGTGATAAATTATTACTTTTTGTTATTAGGTTGTCCACACCTTTCGATCTACATGCGACTCTTATGGATATTTTATATACTCCTATATTGAGCGATCTCACATCAGTTCAATCAGGTAAAGAGAGAAGCCTCTCTTTATTCAGGCCCATTCCTGAGTCACGAACCTGCGATACAGTAAACATTAGACAATTTTCACTATTTTATTCTTTGATAAAGGCTGGAATAGAACCTCATTGGTGTACCTGCTTGAACTGGGTGGATGCCTTGAAAACTTCCGAAGATAAAGAAGTATCTTATAAACTTGCTAATCATGTCGTCAGTGCCATAAATGGAGAATTAGCTAATGTAACTGAACTTTGTGCTCCATTAAAGCTCAAAGAACTGATATATGCCAAAAAGTAAGCCTGGTTGTTGACTATACCTGATTGCTTTTCAGAATTTTGAACTGTACATATGTTTACTCAAACTCTTTATTCATAGATTGATCCCAAACGATGATCTCTTGAAGTATAAAAATGTAAAGGACACTGATGGGTTTGTTCCTGATTTATCGGGTAATACTAAAGCTGTATTTGCTCACTATCAGCTGAAGTTTTCTACAAGTCCCGGAAGAGCGGTTTATGAAGTCAGTAATCGGGTCGAAAACGTTAATGACATCATAGTCTTTCAGATCACGCTGTTCTACGACACATTAGTGAACAACTTGTACTTGGATTTATCAGCCATCAGTCATGTATCTAAATATGGAGATGATCCTCATTGTATTATCGACAAAAATTACTTTCTAGCCACTTATTGCGTGTGTTATGACCGGGTTTAATAGATATTAAGGAAATGCAGAGAATATATATTATGTTATGGTGCTATTTAACTCTTTCAATCTCATAATTATTAACTGAATGAATATATTATATATTATGTTTCGATATCAATGAGAATAAGTTGTGGCCTTTCTATCTCTGACAGTTCAAGCTTTTCAATCATCATTTTTATGTTTGAGGTAATGCATTATGGCCGTTATGGATATATACCCTATGGAAGATGAGATACTTAGCTTAGATAATGATAAGAAATGTAACATCTGTGATAGATTGTAGGTGGTCACGATGTTTAGTCTCCAATTTTCCATTTTCAGATTTTCAAATGTGTCAGCATTACGACTTCATCGAGTGAAAACTCATAAAATAGTAGAATCAATCGAAGATAAAAGAATATTTTACAAATCAACTGATGGCCAAGGTATTTTTTGGAGTGTTTGGACAGTTTAATCTCGTTTTTAAGCCAGAACATTTGTGTTTCACTGTCCTGTGCAGAAGTGTAGAGAACGTAAAGTTAAGTTTCAAGGTATGCGAAACCTTAAACAGCATTATTTACGGGTAGGAGTTGAACTTCAGCGTTTACAATCTAATTATGTTCTTATCGCAGGTCCATACCGAAAAAACGTTGGTATGCGAATGTGGAACAAGGTTCTCTTTACAAAAAGATTTTGCTTATCATAAAAAGTCAAGATGCCTCTCCCGAGATTTACGTAGGTTTTTATCAATTTATTATTGTGAAAGCTATATGGGCGGGGTGCCTGTGTACTGATATCAGTTCCTGTAATCTATTGTCCTTGAGCCCAAATGTCTTTTCAAACGTGTTTGAAAGGTCGTTTCGAACCGAATCTTATTCTTGATTTGTGTTTCATAATGACAGAAAGAAAAAAACAAACGAAAAGATCAAATGAAAAGTTTATTTTGATGAATTTTGTTTGCTTAAGCCTTGGAGAAACGGCGTCTGTATCCTTGAGATTCGTTTTCCTTCTCAACAGCAGCAGTTCTGGTTGGGCATGGGCAATAAGCAGCATCAGATCCTGGGAGTCCTTCACCTCCTTGCTCTCCTGGTTGACCTGGAGTTCCAGCTTGTCCATCGTGTCCGTTAGATCCTGCTGGACCAGCTGGGCCATTTTGTCCTGGGGCTCCATCTTGTCCGTTGGCTCCGTTTTGTCCTGGAGCTCCTTGGGCTCCTTGTGGTCCTTGAGGTCCTGGAGCTCCCTTTCCGCGTTGTCCGTTGGCTCCAGCGGCTCCTGGGTATCCATCTTGTCCTGGGGCTCCTGGGAATCCAGCATCTCCTTGAGCTCCTGGGGCTCCTGGTTGTCCATCTTGTCCTCGGGCTCCTGGAGCTCCGTTATGTCCGTCTTGTCCTGGTTGTCCAACTGGTCCATCTGGTCCTTGTGGTCCTGGAGCTCCGGCTGGGCATTGGATGCATCCGCTGCTGTGGTCAGTAGTGATGATGGAGATTCCTGGAACTCCGGCTCTTCCAGCATCTCCTGGAAGACCATCGTCTCCACGTTGTCCTGGAGCTCCTGGTGGTCCTTGTGGTCCTGGTGGGCAGTTGTTGGGTTGAGTTCCGCAAGAGCATTGTCCAACAGCACGCTTGTTACGTCCGAAGATGGTTCCGGTTGTTCTGCTAGAACCGCTAGATGGGACGATCATTTCCTTCCAGGCAGAGTTGGCAACCATCTTGAAATAACATATTACTATTTTAACACTATAAGTTTCTTACTCTGAATTCGTTCATGTCGTCCATGACATCATCGTAGAAAGTATTGATCTCTTGGAAAAGAGATCCAACCATAACAAGGCATGCCAAGATGACGATTCCGGAGGCTCCGGAAGCAAGAGTAACTAAAACTTTAGCGCTCATTCTGAAACTGCTGATGAACCACTTGCCATTTGTCCTTAAATAGTCCGATAAGTGCGGCCTCCAAGATTGCCAAGGTCGCTTTCTGAAACAAAGCATTCATCAGAAAAGATACCAAACTTACGTGTGTAATGTATACGCAAAACAACAATAAAAACTTCCGTATGCGACGAGATAGTTTACGTAACCGGCTTTTTGAACTTCAAGTGCATTAGCTTCATAGATTCAAGTCAAAAAATATGTTTTTTGATCTTAACTGGTGAAAGTATCAGAAAACACCTGAAGAAAATGCAGAGATGATTCACTAACATGGATAACTTGTTTTAGAAGCTGAAGATGATATACACAATGATGCTCCATTCATGAACCACAAGAAGAATCGATTAATGGCTAAACCCACTTCAAACACAAAGCCAAAGTAATGTGTTCATTCAACTTGTTATACACCTCGATATGATACAGGTCCAAGGAAATGAATTCCTCGCTAAACTCTCCTCAACCAATAATTTTGATTGTTCCGACGGATGATGTCCAGTCGACAATAGAACAGATTTCAAGGTTAAAGCGAAGAGAATGAAAAATAATTTTTTTTACTTTTTAGTTCTTTCCGTTCAACGTGTGAAGTAGCAGTTCAAGCTCAAACCTCTTCCTTCATTCCGCAGACATCAACGATTGGAGTTGGAAATGTATTTGTCATCTCTTTTTCATAGTTCTTCATTTAATCTTTTTAGGAACTCCCACAATCATACGATTTCGGAGGTCAATATAACTATTTACAGCCACAGGACTCATACTACTCTACCCATCCTCCGGGTACAAAATTCATAAAACTATTTAAAGACATTATTTTGAAGGTATGGAAATGGGTATGAACACTGGAGAAGCAGGATATGAAAGCTATGACCCATTAGTAGGTTTTCTCCATGACTTCAAATATATTTTATATTCTAGCTGTCTGACGTATGCTGTCCGTATTGAAGGACAAACGAAGTCCGCGAATGAACAACCGATATGCTTATACCAAAACAATGTTCATAATATATATTTATTTACAATTTGGAATCTAAAATTGTTGGAAAATTCAAGGAAGTGATCTTTCGATAGACTTTTTTGAGTAGAGGATTCCTACTCACTTGAACGAACTCGTAAGAAACATGAACTATGAAGCCATTCAAGATATATTCGTGCTATTATAATATCATAAAGCCAAAAGAAAACTAAATGATGAAGCAAATACGATACACTATTCTAAGTTTTAGAAAATGCTCATTATGTACAAACATGCTGTTCAGCATATTTGAAAGAATTTTTCAAGTAAAGCTAGTGTGATACAGTGATAATCATTCATCTTTCCCATGCACACTTATTGTGTTCATGTGGCTGTCGAGTGAGGATTCCGTCGAACTTGTCTGAATGAAATTATGTAATTATCTATCATAATGAAAACCGTCTGGTACTCACCGCAACAGATTCTACTCGCTTCCGATACATGATCTGAGCTGCGTGCATCATTGTAGAAATATTTGGACCGTGCTTGAAACGTTCATCATGAAGCTTCAAAGAAACATGTTCGTAAGTGAATTAATTGAAAAAATATGAAACCTCCTCAGCTTCTCCGGCATGTTCAGCATGACTATGTCCATGTCCATGACCTTTTGCTACTAATCTTGGTTGTCCAATTTGGAAAAATCCCATATTCAAATATCTTAAATCTCTAACAATAATAGAAAAAGTCAACAAAAATCCACCTTTGTAACAACTCTAAATAACATCCACTGACTGTGAATGCAAACAAGTAGTCAGCTGGGAATATAGTCTGAGTGAAGATCATGCAAATTAGAGCAGTTTCTGAGAACCTAAAGAATGTGGGTGTACCGTATGATGGTATAACTCATTAATAATATACCTGAATGTTTCATCAGTTAATTGATACTTGATGAGCGATGTGTCGAAGAAAGTTATTCCAAAATGTATCCAAGCGATTAGAAGGCCTCCTGTTTGAAAATTATAATATAGTTTTAGAAGTTGGTTTTACCAGCTGCAATCAAAGGAATGAAACGCTTAGTTGCACGACAGTCTCGATCAGTCATAGCTAAGATTCGACGGACGGCAAAGTATTGGAACCATTGACAGGACTTAAGCAAGATTGTAAGAAAGCTCTCGTGCAGAATTTCACTAACATGAACAAGTACGTAACTCAAAGTGTTTGTGATTGTATCAGTTGTCGTATAGAATCCATCTTTCCGCTGATATTCAACTTCCGTACATTGCAGAACCTTAAATTTGAAATTTTAATCGATGACAGCAGTATTTTCAATCATTCGTGCTATTAAATAGATTAATCAGCATAAAAACAGAATGATAGCTTTTTGTTCCATTTTTAGAAGACAAAATCAAAGAAGGAGAAGATCATACGAGACAGCTTACCATTTTAATAAACAAAACTACACAACATCCAAAAAGGATGGAGACGTCACCACGAGCATGAGCTTTATGATGAGCATCCAGACGATCGTTCTTGAGGAATTTCTCAGCAAATAGAAACAGCTGTGAAGATAAAAGTATAAAACCAAGTGTAGAATGAAAACTTACAGAAGCAAAGAAGAAGAACTGAGCGATGTTAGCTATTAAGCCAACAACATCATACACTTTCCAATGTTCTTCTATTAAATGATCAAAGTCTGAAAAATGGCATGTTCAGGACATGAATATGGATGTTTACCAATTGTGTAATAGAAACACACAAGCCACTTTATACAGGAAGCAACACAGGCTATAGGCGTTAAAATCCAGAACGTGATTTTGATAATTTGGCTAGAATATCCAAGTATTTGTAATTCATTCGAGATTCAACTTACTGAATCCTCAGAGGCTTTGTATCTAATGCAGAATTTCCAGTATATACTCGAGATATATCTTTCATCAGCTCTTTCAGAAGAGAGCGAACACCTTGTTTCATCTTAACAAAAAGAAAAATGAGATAATCACTAATGAAAATTGGAAAACTTGTCTTCGCTTCTCAATATCCTCCGCTTTTTCTTCAGCACCTCCACATGACAGCCAATGAGTTACGATAAGAACAGGGAAGAATTCAGAAGCGCAAGAGATGATAGAAGAAGACAGTATTCCCTTATTGATGTAGTACCCAAAACCATATCATTGGTAGTCTCTAACTATCTTTTGGACCAACCACATTTTCTGAGTTCCATGTAAATCATTAGAAGGCACGCACTCATAATGTCTTTTCATAACGGGACACCAGTAGCCCTCTAATTCCTTACGTTGACAAAGCTCCTAAAGTAATTAAATTGATAAAAGACTACTCCAAGTTCGAAATGCTCGTGTGATAAGACGGAGTTCCCACCTGATGACTTAAATATGCCTTATAAATAACAACTTTTAACCACACCACGGAAAACGTAATGTTGATGAACAATCGTCCAACCTTAACATGAACGTGATTGTTCCAAAGGAGCTTGGGAGCAAACCTTATCCAGGTTTGAGTTTATAGCTCCGAAGTAACGCCTCTGAAGAATATAAATGAGACTAAGCATAGAAAATGATGCCATCAGTAAATCATAAATAGTTTCCATCCACAGCTCGGAGCTATAAAATTGTTAACTTTCAATGAAAAAACGGTGGGCGATCCTCACCTGTAAATTGCATCAACCAGCTTATCACAATCTTGGAACGCATAGTTAAAAATAATGAAATATAAGTATCCCAAAGTGATGCCTATAGTTAACGCAATAGCTCCTGGAACAAAGTTAATAAACATAAGAAATTTGCAAAACCTATTAAAGCTGGATCGGGAATCTCATGAGGATGATCTAGTTTTGGAAGTTTCCTTGTTCTAATCAAAAATTCGATTTCGATTACTCCACAACAGAACATCAATAATGCAATAATCTAAAAAACGAATGAACGGATCAGATAGGGGAGAGAGCACTCACCGTGTGGTACATTCGCAAATAGAATACAGTATCTTCTCTACTTAGAAGAACATAGAAATTCATAAATATACATAAAAGGAAAATGATGTACAGTGTCCCTGTACATATATGATGTACCTTCAGAAGCCAGCGAAGATCTCGCTGAGCTGGCACATACATTTTCCCAATAAGGAAAGAGTACGATTGAAAAGCTCAGTTAGAAGTTGCTCGATAAGTTTTTACGGAAATATGCTACAGCTTCAATATTCGGTCAGTAGCAATAAAAAGAAATCTTATTAAGGTTATGATAGCTGACAATTAACCATCTTTATCTATTTTATGAACATTTTTAATTGTCGCCTAGTACGCGTCAACGATTCCGCTTTGTTTCGTTATTGTAATGATCTTTAGACGGAATTTCTGCTTAATCATAAAAAATTCAAATGATAAAATTTAGTTTATTGAAGTTATGATTAAAGTGAAAACTTATGAATGCAAGAAAAAAAAGGCTCATGTTAGTGGATATTATTGAGCTTGAAATTTTTGAAACTGTGACCAGCAGAGATCTGACAGAGAACAAGGAAGGAAAAACCCGTTGCAACTGTTTTCAGGATATATTGAGGAAGTTCATGAAACTGTGCTCCAACAGACGCAAAGCGTGGTCGACTCTGGAAAAGAAGAGTTACAGAAACGGCAATACCACTTACTCGCTAAAGTCAGATGGGGTCGTGTCAAATTGTTTTAAAGTTTTACAATGTTCGTCTATTTTACCGAAGCTGCAAGAAATAAGAGAATGACAAACGATACCCGTTAACTAACATTTGGAAAA